ACGCGAATCAAAAGGCGTAATAACGCGAATAAAGGCGATATAACGCAAATCAAAAGGCGTAATTACGCAAATCAAAAGGCGTAATAACGCGAAAAAGGCGTAGCAACGCAAATAAAGGCGAAGTAACGCGAATAAAGGCGTTATAACGCGAATCAAAAGGCGTAATAACGCGAATCAAAAGGCGTAATAACGCGAATAAAGGCGTAATAATGCAAATCAAAAGGCGTAATAACGCGAATAAAGGCGTTATAACGCGAAATGAAAGGCGTAATAACGCAAATCAAAAGGCGTAGTAACGCGAATAATGGCGTTGTAACGCGAATCAAAAGGCGTTCTAACGCAAATTAAAACGCATTATAATGCCAATTTAATACCATATTTATACTAATCAAATGGCCTAGTAACGTGAGTAAGCAAGACCAATATTGATATGAATTTATTGCTCAAGATATAAACTCGTGTAGAATAATAAAATATACATTTACAATAACTAACATTCCATTTGCGCAGTAATAATGCAAACTATTTGTCATAAACTAATGAAGACTCTTCAATATTTGCCAATTTAAGGTGACTTGGTGCCTTATAGGTCCATTGGACTGGACGTAAATACAGTTAATCTGAATTCACATGTATCACATCATTGATTTTACACATGTCGCTATAGTAAATGAATTTCTTTTCTTTTCTTTTCTTATCTTATCTTATCTTATCTTATCTTATCTTATATCTTATATCTTATCTTATCTTATATGTGCGTCATATGTTAAATTATCTTCGGATATATCCTGTTTGATTACCTTATAACATCTAGTATTTTCTAATTATGTGAATGCCATTCCTAATTAAGCTATAGGTAATAGGCTATAGGTAACAAGATTTGGGAAAACGTAAGGTATAAGTTAGTCACATTAGGGTGATTATTGATAAGTATGTTTAAATGGGGGATAGTGTTTCAGTTAAGTCACAACTATAGGAGACATTGCCTTCTTTGTCTATGTAGAAAAGTATCTATAGTTGGGTGATAGTTAACCCCTAATCTGACGAAAGCATTTCCTAATAAAAGATTTAAAAAAATCAGACTGTGGCCTTAGGACGTATCCGTACAGAATTGAAAATAAAACGTACGTCTTGATCGATTTATTTAGATCAAATTGTTCTTCCTATCTTACATTACTAGGCCACTGTTTGGAATTTATATGGTATTAAATTAGCGTTATAACGCCTTTTGTTTTGCGTTATTATGCCTTTTGGTTCGCGTTATTACGCCTTTTGATTCGCGTTATAACGCCTTTATTCACGTTATTACGCCTTTTGATTCGCGTTATAACGCCTTTATTCGCGTTAGTACGCCTTTTCATTCGCGTTATAACGTCTTTATTCGCGTAATTACGCCTTTTGATTCGCGTTAAAACGCGAATAAAGTCGTTACTACGCCTTTTGTTTCGCGTTATAACGCGAATAAAGGCGTTACTACGCCTTTTGATTCGCGTTATTACGCCTTTTGATTTGCGTTATAACGCGAATAAAGGCGTTACTACGCCTTTTGTTTCGCGTTATAACGCCTTTATTCGCGTTATTACGCCTTTTGATTCGCGTTATAACGCCTTTATTCGCGTTAGAACGCCTTTTGATTCGCGTTATAACGCCTTTATTCGCGTTATTACGCCTTTTCATTCGCGTTATAACGCCTTAATTCGCGTTAGTACGCCTTTTCGCCTTTTTTTCGCGTTATTACGCCTTTTGATTCGCGTTATAACGCCTTTATTCGCGTTAGTACGCCTTTTGATTTGCGTAATTATGCCTTTTGATTCGCGTTATAACGCGAATAAAGGCGTTATCACGCCTTTTGATTCGCGTTATTACGCCTTTATTCGCGTTATTACGCCTTTTGTTTCGCGTTATAACGCGAATAAAGGCGTTATTACGCCTTTTGATTCGCGTAATTACGACTTTGTTTCGCGGTATAACGCGTATAAAGGCGTTACTACGCCTTTTGATTCGCGTTATAACGCCTTTTTTCGCGTTATAACGCGAATCAAAAGGCGTCATAACGCGAATCAAAAGGCGTTATAACGCGAACATAAAGGCGTAATAACGCGAACCAAAAGGCATTATAACGCGAAACGAAAGGCGTTATAACGCTAATTCAATACCATATAAATTCCAAACCGTGGCCTTGTGATGTAAGATAGGAAGAACAATGTTGATTGAAATCAATTGATCAAGATGTACGTTTTATTTTCAATTCTGTACGGATACAGTCTGATTTTTTTAATCTTTTATTAGGAAATGCTTTCGTGAGATTAGAGGTTACTATCACCCAACTATAGATACTTTTCGATAAAGACAAAGAAGACAATGTCTTCCTATAATTGTAACTTAACAGAAACACTTTTCACTCCTCTAAGCATACCTATCAATAATTAGAGATACTTTCACCCTAATGTGACTTACGCATGCCTTACGTTTTTCCAAATCTTGTTACCTATAGCCAATTACCTATAGCGTAATTAGGAACGACATTCACATAATTAAAAGATACTACAGGTTATTAACCCTTTACCACATATATACGCGAAACAACGCACTTTCGACCCCCCCCCTTTTTTAGGCCTTCTATAGTGAAAAAAAGTCCTATTTGGGCCCCAAACATAAGTTTTCGTTTGAGAAATGTTGCTTAAAAAATTGAGCACTTTTTCGGCGCCGCCCCCCATCCAAAAGATACATCAGTGGGTTGCCAGAAGGGGGATGTGCCCCCTTCTGTTAGGGAGGTTTGAAGGGGGGCGGAGTCCCCCTCATCGCCAAGAAAATTTTGGACTTGTGAGAGGCTAAAAATGACCCCAGGTCGATCATAATGTAACGTTTAACCAACGCTGAAAAGCCTTTGACTCTGTCTCAATCCCTTGAGCAGTTGCAGCACTTTGAAATAAATTTTGATGGAAAAAATCGAGGCAAAATAGTGATTTTTGGCAATTTTGAGGTGTCCCCTCGTTGCCATGGTAACAGGAAATTTAAGACTGAGCATGTCGTTACAAAGACAATGGTCCAGTCAACATTTGTGCCAAGTTTGATTAGTATTGAAGCATTTTTCATAGTTTTATAGCAGTTTGAACTTGTAACAGGAGGCTTTTCAGTGAAAACGGCCATTTTTCACAATATGCTCATGGGGGAAAGGGTTAAGTAATTATTCAGGACATATCCGTATATAATTGAACATATGACGCACATATAAAATAAGATAAGATATAAGAAAAAATAAAAATTCATTTAGTATAGTGACATGTGTAAAATAAATGATGTGAATTCAGAGTAACTGTATTGACATATAACCCTATGGACCTTTAAGTCTCCAAGTCACCTGATATTGACAAATATCAAAGAGTCTTCATTCGTTTTTTACAAATGGTTTGCAATATTACTGCGCAAATGGAATGATAGTTATTGTAAATGTATATTATATTATTCTATACGAGTTTATATCTTGAGCAATAAATTCAATATTGTTTTTCCTTTCTCACGTTACCATTTGATAAAGTATAAATATGGTATAAAATTGGCATTATAATGCGTTTGAATTTGCGTTATTACGCCTTTTGGTTCGCGTTACTACGCCTTTATTCGCGTTACTACGCCTTTTGATTCGCGATACTACGCCTTTATTCGCGTTACTACGCCTTTTGATTCACGTTATAACGCCTTTATTCGCGTTACTTCGCCTTTATTTGCGTTGCTACGCCTTTTTTGCGTTATTACGCCTTTTGATTTGCGTAATTACGCCTTTTGATTCGCGTTATAACGCCTTTATTCGCGTTATTACGCCTTTTGATTCGCGTAATTACGCCTTTAATCGTGTTATAACGCCTTTGCGTTTTTATTTTTTTTGTCATTTGACACTATTAGGCTTTCGTATAAAAGTGACAGTTGTGATTTAAATCTAAAAACAACGACGTTCATGGCATTACAAGGCCTCCGTTTATAAATATCATTAAGTTCTTTAGTTATAGGGTAGTGTCAATATTTTTTAATGAACAAATATTATAATATACATGTTATATGGTAGATGTATCTAAATGACTATCTTTTACAAGCTTAAACAGGGATATACATGTATAAATAATTAATCAAGCAGTTATATTTGGATGCTCAAAATTACCGAACAAGATTTAATGACAGAAAAAACTATTTGGTAATATTTTATTTGATAACATTTTTATAAAGTTTACAGGTCTATGATTTGGAAAAGTTCCAGATGCCTGCAAAGATATATACTTATTTTTCTGCTTAGTAAAACGTAAAATTATATATGTACATGTATAAATGTAACGAGTTCCAAGGTTTCAGTCAAAGTCTTCATAAATGATACAGAGTAATTCCTTGACCAATACTGTTTTAAACGGCCTCATTGTAACATATAAACACATTGGAAGAAGGACATAAAAAGCCAACATTAACTTTCAGGCAATTAATCGGGTAGTTGACAGGTGTAACAGTTGGCATTTATCAATTAACAGTAAGCATTAAACAGTCGCTGTAAGCATTAAGCAGTTAAAAGTAAGCAGTTGACTGTAGGCAGTTGACAGTAAGCAGTTGACAGTAGACAGTTGACAGTAAACAGTAGGCTGTCTTTTATGGAATTCCGTACTATTATACGCGATATGTCATCAGGATGTCCAACACATTTCTACCGAGAAGTTAATAATCCATCCAGGGATAACAAAAGGAGTGTCGACACTAAAGTAGTCACTGCACTTTTTATAAAAACTTTTCCCTTTGAAGTCAAGTGTGACCTTGATATTTTAGCTATTGACCTATGTATTTTGTGTGCAACACATTGCCTTTTTGTAAAAGTTATTCTAAAATCCGTGACAAAGTTATTGACCAGACATAAATTTTGAATAGACTGATGGAATAAAGAAGGGCAGGCGGACGGACGGACACTGCAAAAGCTAAATGCATCCCCATTTTACCAAATACATGTATCTAATATTGCCTAATACCTCTACTTTATGATCTCTCAGAGTCGTGTGCAATGTCTGATTTACATGGAATTGATATTTGGCTGGAGATAAACTGCAGAACGTTTCTTCTCTTTTACCCTTGATACCATAGCTGTATCCATTTTCGCCTGAAAAATCGTAATTTATATCGCATATAAATTCGTTTATGTTTTATTAATAACCATCACCAATTTCTTTAAGATATGTTTTTCAAGCCTATACTGTAACGTTAATTAATCTGTTCCATATGTCTGGAATTTACAACTGTATATTTCTTTGATCTTATGACTGCACAATAACAGCAGGAGGCGCGCAAATTGTACACTTTCACATGGGAAGAGAGATGGCTTGGTTTGATTAAGTTGTAATGAATCACGCAAAACCCTTTCATTCTTTGAAATGCGCGCTATTGACAACTTCTGTACAGTACCATTTTCTTTGAACTGGAATAACATTTGTAGTTAAATACTGCAATACTTATATATATTATATTCTTTTTTCTTCCCTTACCTCCCCTGCACCCACCTTTGTATCACAATGGACTTAACCTGTATAAGTTTCCTTTTGTTTTTGTTTTACTTTATATTTTTGCATATTATTATCAGCCTACTAACTTAAAGTTAAAGGTTTGTAAAATATTTTTCAAGGATGTAGCCCTACATCAAGTGGTACTAGACACAAGATAAAAGGGCACGGGTTTCCAGACTATGGTTTTTCCTGGGCGAGTCGACCACGATTTGAGAAATATTTTATGAACAGTACTTTATATTATATATACAATATATCTATATATATATATATATATGTTGGGCGTGCTTGTTGTCCAACTTTATGTCATCTATTATAACGTTTGCTACAATTTGTGGCTTTGTGGTTTTTGTTGTCCAACTTTGTGTCATCTATTATAACGTTTGCTACAATTGTTTTCTATATGAAAGCGTATTTGAAGTTTCTGGTTAATCTTTTGATTATATCATAATCTATTCTTAGACAATAAAGACGTCTGGCTCTGCCAGACAATAAAGACGTCTGGCTCTGCCAGACATTATCAATCTTGAAAAAAAAATTAACAAAGGAACTTTAAATAAAGTTGTTTTGGTGCAAATTTATTATGTTCGCATTGAACGATGGAGACTGTGCTGTTTTATCTATCAAAACAAAGACAGTATATTGTTTGGCAATATTGACTGTAGACTAGTTAATTTGTCGGGATCTTTTTTGTTAGTTTTCTTATTTATCGATAATGACATTACAGTTCTCAATAAATAAATGCATAATTAGTGCCCGGTGGCCTAGTGGTATTTATGTTGCGTATCGATCGCGAAGTTGCAAGTTCGAATTCTGAACAAACTGTTCGTCCTGTAGCTAACAATGCGCATGCCAAACGGCGCGTTGTCGTGCGGCGTGTTGTCGCGATGTGATATTGTCGCTCGGCTTGGTGTGCTTCGCTAGTAAAGTATCTACTAGGTTGATATGAAAAATGGCTGAAAACGGACAGAATTTTTTTTAACATATTGTAACACATTCTTAATCTGTAACATATTGTAACATATTCTAAATCTGTAACGTAGTGTTACATATTCTTAATCTGTTACTTAGTGTAACATATTTATACCACCTGTCACAACCGTTATACTTTATATTTTATTTGTTTTTTTTTTCTGACAAGAAGATAGTTTTTATCACATATCAAGGACGGTAGAAATAAACCTACATATCTCTTGCGAATGGATGACATCCAGGGGAAGAAATCCATCAGCTTCATCTGCAAATATGAAAGTAATATTATGACAATATTTATGAATTTATCATACAATCATGCCAATACAGGGTATCTTGAAGTATGTTAATTGTATTTATGAAAAAAGCGATGATAATTATGGTCAAAATCAACGCAAAAGACAAGCTTATTAATCAGGGTTTGTGCTCCAAACATATTATTATCGCGATTTAACTTTGGTAACATTATTTAAATAACTTTATCATATACCTATTTAATCAAAATTTGAAATTAATTTTGTGAAGTTAAAAATAGCCATTTTAGCGTGAATTTACCTAGATTTGATAAACTGTATATTTTTGTGTTATTTCGCTACGAATGTGGGAAATGTTTTTTACTCCTGAAGATTTTGTAAAATTACTTAAACATATATTTATGTGGTTTTTAATTTGTTTGTTTGCATCACAGTCATATCCGATAAAAGAATAAATCAGGTAAACTGAAAACTAAAAGCATGTTCATGAACACGCATATCACATGTGTTTTGACATTTTTCTGACTGATAATTACTTATGTTATATAAATCTCTTACGTTTTTAGCTAACCTGACCACAAAGTGGTCAAGGTGAGGTATAGTGATGGGGCTATGTCCGGCGTCCGTCGTCGTGCGTCGTTCGTCGTCAACATTTGGGTTGTTAACACTCTAGCAGTCACAGTTTTGATTGGATCATAATAAAACTTCATCAGAATGTTTGTATCAATAAAATACAGGTCAAGTTCGCATATGGGTTATCTCTGGTCAAAAACTAGGTCACAGGAGCTAAAAATAGAAAAATCTTGTAAACACTCTTGTGGCGGCAGTTTTGATCCAAATATCCTGGAAATTAATCAGGAAAATTGTTTTGACAATTTCTAGTTCAATATAGAATATGGGTAATATCTGGTCAAAATCTATCTCACATGAGCTAAAAATTAAAAAAACTTGTTAACACTCTAATGGCTGCAGTTTTTATCCAAATATCCTGGAAATTAGTCTGACAGTTTGTTTTGATGATTTCTAGGTCACAGCACCCAAATATTGAAAAACCTTGTAAACACTGTTATGGTCTTTTTTTTTTGACTCAATTGTAATCAAACTTAGTCAGAATGCTTGTCTAGTTAATTTGCTTGGAGGAGTTTGAACATTGGTTGTCTCTGATGAAAAACTAGGTCACAGGAGCTAAAAATAAAGAAATCTTGTTCACTCTCTAGTGGCTACTGTTGTTATTATCTTAATATCCTGGAAATTGCAAGTTTGTTTTGATGATTTCTAGGACAAGTCTTACTATGGTTCAACTGGGGTCAAAAACTGGAACATTCTGTCCAAATATTGAAAAACCTTGTTAATATTCTAGAGGTCACATTTTTGACTCAGTTGTCATCAAACTTGGTCAGGATGCTTGTCTAAGTAATTGCTCGGATGAGTTCGATGGGTCCGGTGTGCGATCTTTACTATCATTTTATACTTTAAACATTGATCTAACTCGGAGTTATCTATAAACTTCTTAGACATTTTTATGTAGAGCGACGATCTTTTGCCCCCGATGCAGATTGCGTATGCTCAATCAAGTACTACATTCGGTAAGATGGGTCTAAAACTTAAAGGCCCCATAAGCGTACATCTTTTGAAAATGAAATTTTAAATAGTTTTCATTTAAATTATCATCTTTTTTATCTTAAAGAGAATTACTACAGATGATACCTATGTTGTTTATAGGTTACTACAGTTTGTTTATAGGTTACTATAGAAATAAAAACAAAACTTGTAGTGTAGGATAATCTGGTTATACCCATTTAAAGATCAAACTGTTAGATGTCAATGTGATAGTGTGTTATTATATTATTTTGTTGGAACTGTACAAATTACTAACCGGCACTGAGATTAGTGAAATGCATTGCTACTTTAGTGTTCAGAGTGAAATATAGAATGTTCGCCTTACGTGCAAACAGTTTTGAATTCTAATTTATGCTCGTGACTCTGAGGTTTTTTTATTTTGTTTCTTTGGTTGTTTGTTTGTTTGACTTTCTTTTGTTGTCATTTTGTTGTTCTTTTTTGTTGTTGTTGCTGTTTTTTGTTGGATTTTAAATTGATAAACTGGTCACTATATAGATGATAATTATTGCTCCGCGTACACAGGCGCGGAGTAATTTGTGTTCACAATTTTTTTTGTCCATGAGACCGATTTTTTTCAATTAATCCCTTCGATTTACAGATAAAAATAAATTCGGATTCAAGAATTCCTTCCGATTTCTATAATGAAAAGTCATATATTAGTTTCCCTTTCGGTGATTTGCAGCAAGTCTTATTAATGAATGAGAATGGGAACAAATTTCACGCCTCCACCGCTGGGAAGGCAGTATAACAGACAAAACCAAAAAAATAAACTCAAATTTGTTAATTTATTTCCGACATCTCCGTATCTTCTACAGGAAATTATTAATTATTTTGTAGTATCCAGTGGTTATTAGGTATTTTATGGCTGAACATACAGTCGAAAGTTTTAAATAGAATGATGTATGTGAAAGTCCAAAAATATATTTATAGAAGTAGTTTTAGTTTAACGAAACGGTCATTTGTGTCGCGCTATGGTAATAAATAACGAACTGGATAATTTTGCAGGAAAAAAAATGCAAACATTTTCAAACAATAAATTGCATTCTGTAAAAAATTATACATAAAAATTAAGTACTAGACAATTTCTTACGAATTGTTATATCATAGTATTATCATTTTGAAATTGTCTTTTCTTTAGGTTCTTTCCGGGGTTTTTACGGCCCTGATTGCACTTATGACATTTTTACCGTGAATATTTAAATCGACCTACTTCTTGCTTTCTTAACTTTATATGTCGCTTTCAATTTGACGTTGTGCGACAGATAACAGGTCGAGCAGTATCATACTATAAAACATGTTCGCTGCTTAAGTTCTTTAGCTAAAATCGACCCTGATTTTTCGAATATTTGCTGTTCTATATTTTGTTTGAAGGCAATTTGTTTTATGATAGTTTGAATGGAATGTTGATTGCCGAATATTGTGACATTTTAACAACAGTAACTTTCGTCTGCAGTTTTAACATGAGTTGTTATGGGCTTATTGATAGGAATTTATACACATTGGTGAGTCAGACAAGTTTTTTTAAGCAATTCAACAAAATAGTAGATTGACCTCCCAATAAATCAATAAACAAACTTTGTTCATTTTGACTACTATTATGTTCAAAAGAAAATACCACAGAAAATTGAAATTACAATAATCAACTTGAAATAACCAATATTACTGTTAATATCCAAAAATACTCCCTATATGTTATAAATAAACGTATACTATATAGGGTATATTTTGGATATTATAGGTATATTTAGGATATAATCGTTAAAAATGACAGAATTTCAAGTTCCTGTGGGAAAAAAATAATATTCTAATCCCTAGCATGCCTACCAAAGTACATGATGAGCAATGTCTTTCGACCGCCCATTCATAAACGATATACAATTCTGGTAAAAACCATTTAACCATTGGAAAGTCTATAAGAATATCTGGTCATCAGATGCCTATTAGCTCATCTTCACTTGTTGTATTTCTTGCTATGACGCCCTTTGATGCTTCGTATCAATGCTTTTCTTGATATACCATGATATACCATTTTCCGGACATTTTGAAAAATAAAGTCGATGAAAGTTTTTGTTTTGGCTTATTTACATATGAATATTTCCTACTATGATTAGTTGTTGATATTTGTAGAAAATGAGTAGCATTATAGGTGAAAAGGGAAATGTACTTGCTTTGATATTTTCTTATAAATTAAAATTACTAACTACAGTAGTGACAGAAACAGAACAATGTTGCACTACTGTCATGCCACATTACATGTCTTGTTAGTCTTGTTTGCATTGGAATTACTTTCCTTACCAGGTAGGTATCAGTTAAAGCATATTTTTTAAAATTAAATATCTGGCCCCTCTCTCATGAACAGTGCATACGATAAGAATAATTGTGTAGTCGTAAATGATTTACAACACATCCATGTACTTAATCTGAATAGAACATGACCTGTGCGTATGAATGATTTGGTAAGGTATTTGTAATGAGCGCATATTTTTGCGCGGAGCTTTTCAATTGCTGCATATTGCAGCAACATTAGTACCTGTAACTTTTTAGAAATCGGATCATGGATCAATATACATTAACTCGGATGAAAGATGTATGATAAAAGAAGGTATATCCCGATGGCGGAAAAGCGAACTGTCTGTTATCTAAGCATGACACGTCTAAAGATGAAGGTTAAAAAGCAATATTTTTTTTTTCAATTTTGTTATGTATTTGAAGATTTTGAAATATCAGCAAGACGGTGATTTCTGTTATGTTAAATACTTCAGTGATACAGCGGTGAGAAGAGAATTTAACCAAAGTCTTTCACCCACCAAATAAGCGAAATAAAGGTTGGGTACGAATTATTTGATACACAATGCTTTATTTGAAAGCGTTACTAACTAAAAGTCCAAAGCCCAAACTCAAGAACATTTTGATTATAATGTTTGATCTATATCGCTGACCACTATTATCACTTCCGAGATTTTTTTTGACGTGACAGGACTAGATTTATTTTTGATTTTTTGAGATTGATGAATGTCTATATCAAAAGCTTATATGCAATATCGCAGATCATTCTCTCAATCCAGGAGATTGTAATTGTGCAATATTGGTGTATTTATTGCAGTTTAAGAGTTAAATTAGTCTTATCATAGTTTAACACGAACATTTCGTGCTCACTGATCTGGAAGTGCACATATAATTGAAAATCGGATAGATACGCTACTCGAGGTCTTCGCATTGTATTGTACAGGTCGTATTGTCCACTCACCCAACCCTTTCACTATTGTTAATCTTTGACAATTTGTTCTGACTTAAAGTAGCCTTTATTTTTAGGTGAGCAAAATGTTTGATTATAATTGTTTTTCAGTTGATTAGGGAATGCAAGTTTTATTCTTTGTAAGCAGTTTATTTTCTGATATGGTGGCTGATTTGGTACACTTTGCGCGTTGCGTTGTCGATAGCGACAACACAACCTATATCGTTAACGTTATCGCTTTTTCATCTTGTCGCTAGCAACAATCTATGGTAGCTGATTTAGAACACTTTTTATATGCCCGAAAATATTACGGGCATAAAGAATTTCGGGCATATCATGTTATACCCCCTGGCGTCCGTCCATCCGTCTGTCCGGGCGAACATCTAATTGTCTATGAGCTTCATTACGTCCATAATTTTAGTTAAAAAAAGAAGGAAATTCCATAAACCGACTGGTTTATGTGGTAATTTACTGGTTTATGGGGAAAGATGCCACCTAAAGATCAAAGAAAAAGCACATAAACCCCAATTGTTGGCATTTCCGTCCGTCCGTCCGTTTGCAATTTGGTTTCCGGAGCATAACTTAAGTTCCATTCGGCCAATAATATTCAAACTTCATAGAATGATTGTCCAGATTGGGTAGAAAACCTCTATTGAATTTGGGGCCACAAGGTCAAAGGTGAAGGTCACTATTACCTCAAAACTGAAAACAGTTTCCGGAGCATAACTTAAGTTCCATTTGGCCCAAAATATTCAAACTTCATAGGATCATAATCCATATTAAGTTGAAGACCCCTATTTATTTTGGAGTTACAAAGTCAAAGGTCAAGGTCACTATTACCTTAAAACTGAAAACAGTTTCCGTAGCATAACTTAAGTTCCATTCGGCCCACAATATTCAAACTTCATAGGATGATTGTCCATATTAGGTAAAAGACCCCTATTGATTTTGGGGTTATAAGGTCAAAGGTCAGGGTCACAATGATCTTTACACTGAAAATTGTGGTTTCTGGAGCATAACTTAAGTTCCATTGGCTCACAGTGTTTAAACTTCATAGGATGATTATTAATATTGAGTAAAGACCCCTATTAATTTTTGGGTTACAAGGTCAAGGTCATTATTTCATTTAAACGGTTTTAGCTCACTAACTTAAGTATAAATCATCCTACAGCTGTAAAATGTTATAGGATGAACAGCCGTGTCCAAAACATGATTGATTTTAGGCTAATAAGATCAAAGGTCAGGATCACACTGTCCTTAACACTGGAAATTGTGCTTTCCGGAACATAATACAAGTTCCATTTGGCTTAAAGTGTTCAAACTTCATAGAATGATTGCCTATATTGAATAAAAGATCCATATCTATATTGGGGTCACAAGGTCAAAGGTCTATATTAAATGACTTTCATATTGTTAAAAGTTTTACAACTGTCAAACTTCATAGGATGATCACTTATGTTGAGTACATTAATTATATGCCTTAAGAAATTTGCTTATATTATGTTATTTCCCTGGCGTCATTCTGTCCATCCGTTGTAGTAAAAATATTTAATCCCCATGTCTTACAAATGCTTCATCCTTTCAAAAAAATCATATGATGCTCCGCCTAGCGGTGCTCTTGTTTGTGTCATGTTGTCGCTAGCGACAGAACGACAAAGCGCCAAACGGCGCGCTGTCGCACTGTCGTCTTGTCCCGTCGCTATCGAAGCACGCCGAACGGCACATTGATTGACGTACGATGCGTTGTCGCGATGTCGCCCTGACGCTTGGCTTATATATATCTACAAACAGCCAATCTTTTGATTTGAGCCAAGCGACAATGTGACATCGCGACAACACGCGGCACGACAACGTGTCGTTTGGCGTGTATCGTTAGCGACAGGACGACAAGACGGCAGTGCAACAACACGACGCACAAAAGTGTTCCAAATCAGCTACCATAGATTGTTGCTTCGTAGATATTGACATGTAAATAATGAAGATAATACTTTATTTTACTGGCTGTGAGCTTTCAATACTATTTTTTATTGTCTTCATGTTTTTTTCCACTTTTAATTTCACAGTTGAGCTAATTATATTTTCATTTGTTTTTGTTTTTAGACTTTTGGAGCTTAGAAAGGTTTTTTAAACCTATAAATTCACATAAACGTTTATCAAGATTTTGGTTTGTATTTATTCTATTTATGTTTGCTTATCAGTTTTATACTACAAAATAGAAATACTGTAAAAAAACAAACTTACTTGTATCAAGAAGAGCTTCGACAATCTTTAAAGGCACATCTACTTCTGGACTTGTAGCATCAATGTATGTCAACGTTTTGAGAGTAGTCGGTAGCTCACATTCTTCCAGAACCACCGGAATAACACAGCTCGAACCATTGTCAATAGATTGAATGAAAGCAAAATCCCTTTCGAACTTACACCATCCGCTCTCATGAAAACGTGGCGACAAGAATAGTAACACTTTTAATGATCTATTCATTCCTTCCCTGACGTTTTCAGATATGTCCTTGCCAGGTTGAAAATCCCGATCTGAGTACAAGCATGTAAGATCAAAACGAGTTTCTAAAATTTCAACATACGTTAACACCTGGGTGCTATCTTCGCTACTATGAGATACAAAAAAGTATTTGTCTTTACCATCTGGTAATGTCGGTATTTTCTGTCTTAAACGGGGATGTCTATCATTACTGTCCTCTCCTGGTGCAAAAATGCTCGCTTCTGGTAATACATCGTCTTTCTTAATGATATCTTCTTCTGTAAGTTTATCAAACGGTATTGGTAGTTCATTCACATATTCATTTGTGTTTGACAGATCTTCCGTTGCGTTGAAACTATTTCCATCTGATTTAAGTAAATGCGTGCTGGTTCCACAATCGTCCATTTTAACACACGTTTAAACTCTAGATTACCTAACCTCTATTTGAATAAGTTATTTTTAGACAACCTTGAACCTAAATTGGAAATCCCCGTTAACAATGATAAGCATAAACAGTAACATGCGATTTTTTTTTATAAACTTAAAGATAAACGATTGACATAAAAATGGATACACTTTCTTTGGTTTTCTTGACTGGCATTACATTATTAACTGTACTGGTGAGTTATCATTTAATTTACTTAATTATAAATAACCATTTCAATCTGAATTTATATAAATAACCATTTCAAACTGAATTTAAATAAATAACCATTTCAATCTGAATTTATATAAATAACCATTTCAATCTGAATTTATTTCATTTTCACAATAATTCATGAAACAGTATGTTCAGGAGCATTTCTTTGCTTTAACCATAACGTTTAAAACTTCTTTAATAATGTAACTTTCTTCATTATCCTGTGGAAAAATCATTTCTTCGAATAAATTCTAAAAAGTTATATCAAGCATATATTCTGCACATTTTAAAAAAAAGTAACGGCACAGAACTTGACAAATAATGTAATCCTTAGTGTAAACAGTAAAATGAATTTATCTTGTTAGATACATGCATTTTGCGTAGTTAAACTGTGCAACAATCGATAAGATTGTCAAGTAATCAAATAAACAGACGTAAACGAAAGCTTTGTTGACATGGAGCATTATTATGGAATACCGTAAGGGCTATCGTGGTTATACTTTATAATCCAGAGGGCGACGATGCGATAGTGCGATAAGAACAAAACGACAATGCGATGACGACATGCGTTAGTGCGATGGCGACGGACAAAATTGTGCTCACAATTTGATAAGGGCTATTTTTGTAGTCTGTAACTTTTATTGTTAAGGTTAACACATTTTTGATACATTAAGTTTTGTTTGTATTGTTTATTTGATGAACTTGATGAGTTGAATTATTGAATTGAAACATATGTGTAAAATTATGAAATCGGGGAAATTTAAAAACTCGTAAATTGCACTTATTTGCAAAAGTCCACGATAGATCTTTAATGGTAGATTTCCGATCCACCCCTCTTATAAAACAGCACATGGTTTTGAAAGAACAGACGGGCTGCACAGGGCGACCTCTAGAACATGTCCCGCAAATTTTTAATCGGATTAATGCCCGGGTATCTAGCTGGCCAGTATAAGAGCTCGGTTGTTTTGCGTGCAAGGCATTGGGTAGTAAGAAGGGCATTGTGTGAGCGGGGATTGTCCTGCAGTAGAAAAAAATCTGGACCCACTACACCTGCATATGGTCGTATATATCACAGGTATTCGGTGTGTGTTAATTACTATAATGACCGCCCCTCCCCTCTCCCACCATCCCACATGCTACAACCCTGTTATTACAATGAAATATTATGTTTAAAAAATTACATACTGAATACCTTATAATTATTTATTTAATTTTTTTTCGATGAATATATAAGTTTATTTTTGTATTTTTGATATTGCAGGTCATGACAAGCGAGGCACACAACAAAATCTGCCTAGATCGATATTGTTCCGACAAAAAGCCGTATTGTACGCCTGTCGGTTGTGTGTTTCATTGTCCTAAAGGAACGTTTTATAACGACAGTGACTGCGTTATTCACTGTGGAGATATGTTCATTGACAACAGGACTTGTGTTCTTTTGTGTCCAAACACAAGCCATTTGGTTCAAGAACAAATCGTAGTGCAAGGTCTGCAATTTTATAAATACAAGATTTGCAAAAATGTTTGCCCACTGCATATGTTTGAGCTTAATGACATGTGTTTGGATACTTGTCCAGATAACAAAGGATATGTTCACAGAGGAAAATGTATTGCAGAATGTCCTAATACAAGCCCCTATCATATGAATATCTTTTCAAACAATCGCATTGTTGCAATTGAATGTATATCCTCTTGCAGCAGTGGAACTCCTTTTCTTAAAAGTGGATACTGTGTTTCAGTGTGTAACAAAACAGAAGTTGTTTTCGAGGGGAAATGTTCCCAAAGATGTCCAGGCGAGCTTAATCATCTTAATTTACAGTCGTGTATCGCTGTAGGAAAGTGCAAGAATGAATGGCCTGAACAGGTATACTGTTCATCGACGTGTCCGGAAAATTATTATTCTTTTAATAAAACTTGTACAAGTAAATGTCCAGTTGAAATGAATAAAATTTTTAACGCAAAATGCATCAGCGCTTGTCCACGTTCACACCCGTACCATGTGATGTTATGGAAATCCGTTTCAGAAAAACTTTATTCCTGCACTGACAAATGTCCCGTTAAAACAAATGTTGCTACGTTAGAATGTGTTACATATTGTGACAAGGGAGCAATTACCTTTAAAGACAAATGCGTAGAGTCATGTCCACAGAATACATATCTATCATCTAAAACAAACGATGAAAAAATATGCGTTGAGGTTTGCCCAACATTTGCATATAAGGATAAATGCGTTGACACCTGTCCAAAGTTCTTTATCAACAAGACATGCGTAGACAGTTGCCCAAGTTTTTATAAAACTCTGTACAAGAAATCTTGTGAAGTCTCATGTCCAGTAAACACGTGTTTGACAATGGATGGCGTAAATTGTACGGACGACTGCTCATTTAATGTCGAAACGGGCAAACTAGTGTGTGTATGCCCGGAGCATTTCCCATACAAACGGAAAAATAGCTCTGGATCCTTTTGCGTTTCTCATTGTGAAAACCATGAAGTTTTGGATGAGGACAGATGTATAAATGTTACGGAATGTAATAGACCTGTTTTATCGCAAGGACAATGTTTAGATGAATGTCCACTAGGATACTTTTATATGAGTTATGATTACACTAAAGAAATAAATAAAACGGATGCAAACTTTGAAGAAAACATATACAAATATACTGATGATAACTTAAGAGACGATCCATGCGAACTTGTTCAGAATGTTTATTTTGGCGTATTTTTTTTTGGTTTTTCGTCATTGTTTTATGGGGTAGTCTATTATTTCCACGTTTCAACTAAACGCGTAACGTGTTTGCTGCATCTTAAAAAACGGCTGAAACATTGGCGAGTAGTAAAGGAACAAAGTTAAATACAAGCAAACTGACCGACCAGCAGGACTTAGTACAAAAAAACTGGCGTTTGAAGATGTTATTTGTAAACCTATCGTTTATAACAAAATTTTAAGTGTTTAATAATAAACCTAGCTATTCTTGACTATTCCTGCTGAAGGAAGAAGACGAGGGATATGAAGTTCTTAAAATAACTTATCAGGAGTTCGTGTGATAAATGTCACAGAGTTCTGTTGTACATGTATATACTACAGATACACTCGTCAATAGTGGTCATTTTCATCTTTAAAAATGTCTAGTTAAGTAGTTAAACACATTTTCTTATGATATATGAAGATCAGATAAGAAATTGTTAATGATGATGCAAGTTCCATAACAATTCTTTATAATTCGAAATTCGGATAACCCAAAAATTCAGACACTTGTGCAGTTCTTGTGTTATTCAATATAGTTCAGTCTCTTGGATATAGTATATGTATAATTCTGTCATATCTTTGTATTCAAATAATTCTAAATAGAAACATTGATTTTATCAAATGTTTAAGAACTTTTAATTAAAATAAACAACAACAAAAAATAAAGTTAACTTACTTGTTATAAACTACCTTTAGAGTCTATAAATTAATGTTTCGATCTTTGTGGAAATGCTGAATATATTAGGCACGAGCTCGCACCTGCACGAAAGACCGGTTGGGATATTTCAACTTCAGGATATCCCAAATTCACGTGAAGTTGAAATCATCAACTTATGAATTCTGCATGTTAAATACTTGAATCCACGAACTTAACATTGTGAATTCATGAAGATAAAATCGGGAATTCATGAAGATGAAAATATTAATATCCCGACCGTTCTTTCGTTCAGCTGGACAGTACTTACGACCTTCCGTAAAGTTGCTGGATAAGTGCTCACATGAAAGAATCCCAAGTAGGATTTTAACCCAAGGTGCTTCTTAGACAATGAACATAATCGTTAAATGATTCATATTCATTATTCTTTTACCCCCAGAGCGCAATCTATAATAAAATATGCCAGTATTGGTCGTTTCAGGAGCAACACCCATGTAATACAGGACAGAATCTGGCCATTTTAGATAAATAATTAAATATCAAAGTGAACTACACATACATTTTTATTTGCTATAATTCATTTTCATTTCAAATGAGCATGTTGTTTTTTTGAAGAGATAAAATACGTATCTTAATGTGAATTTCACGTGATTTATTAGTTATCGTTATATCACATTTTACTTTATCAATTAAAACAGAGACTTCCTAGCCAGTTAAAATAACACGCGTGCCTGCTAAACCTAAAACTTGTAATGTACATCCATAATGTTTTATTTGCTACAAAATGCCTAATTTTTCACTTTTTGATAGGCATGAGTGATATTTCAATGGAGTATATAGGAGCTACTTATCTCTGTTATCTATGTCTCTGATTAAAAAAACAAAAGTTTCTTTATTTAACTGCCTAAAAACTTTTAAAAGCATATGACATTCTCCAGGGGAATACCTTTTAGAACACACCACTTACATGTGCAAAGATTTGAGATCACACACGCACGCACGCACGCTCGCACACACGCACGCACGCACGCACACGCACACACACACTCCTACCCACCCACGCACGCACACACAGAGAGTTTTTGACCAAACACGTCTCTCCAGGAGGCAAGGAGATAACTAGAAATAAATTTTACAGTAAAACTATGAAAAATTAGGACATTCTAGCGCAACACTAGCGCAATACTCCTAATATGATGAAGTGCCATGTAAATGGTATAAGTCATAAAAAACTATTATTCTTAATATAAACTATATTGTACCAGATTAAGTGACCTCAACAGCTGTTCTACCTAAATATTTTAAGGATTGATATAGATCTATTTACTTGTATTCCTAGTAAAAATACATTTGCTAAAATGATGACAAAATATATCAAACTGTCCCCTTCTCACATATTATTCCAGATAATAAATTACCCTATTTACTACTTAACTGTTTACCCAATGAATAACATTAATTTTCGGAAAATCTCCATTTTCTCGAGCCAACCGTTTAAACACCACTTGTCTGTTTCCTTTGTAGATTCGATTTTGTACAAGTTTTATAAAGGCCAAAGACCTAACGCAATCAATATGTCCGTGAGATTTCTGCGTGAGATTTTATGACTGAATATGGAGCTTGAAACAGATATATGGTCAATAGCTATATAATCGTGAAAAATAGTTACTGTGAATGATTATGTGATTGATATTAGTAGTATGATAACTTAGCGAGTCTAGCGCACCACCCTAAAAAAATAAAAAAAATAATTTCCAGTTATACCCACTTTTTTATAACCTACTTTTTTAAAAAGATTTTCTTCTCCATCACACCTAAAAAAAATAAATTTTTTATCCCCGGCGGGACTCGAACCATCGACCTCTAAAAAATAAAAAAAAAATGAAAAATTGTAAAATTGCAAAATTGTATATTTTCACCATGATCTGACAGTATTTAATATCGTATATACCCCCAGATTAGACATTTTTTAAAACATCAATACCTACCACATACCACTCCATTAAAATTCAAATACAAGCCAAGCGTATTGAGTAAGTTTATCATATTCATTGGTGTATATATGAATATTTTAAATTTTGTACATTATAACATGTCAAGTGTATTTGGTTTACATTGATAAAATAAAATACGTCTCTCTTTAGGAGTTAATGATATTTTCACCACAATGATATTGCATATTCATTTCAAGTGTCGTATAGTGGTTGCACATGCTAATGAGTCATACACGCTGAACACGTCACAATTAGGTAGTTAAGCAAGTGTTTATCGTCTCCAAGCGAGTATTTATTGCAACTAAGGAGTTGTTTACTTGACTAAATGTGTAACTAAGTAAAGTTATGTGTATCTAAGCGAGTGTTTACTGCAACCAAGCAAGTGTTTTGGTCGGTTAAACATCTTTTTACCAATGTAATGATTAATGTGTGAATGTGTATATAAAAAACCAGTTGTATAGTAAAATTAACTTCTATATTTTGGAGGCGGATCATTAATTATAGTAACTTTAGTGAATAAAATTATACATTTACCTTTTTTTTTAACTCGTTTAAAGCCTGTGCTTTTCCCTCTTCTATTAACTTTTTTCTTTCTGTCTCACTCAATCCTGTTTGTTTTGAATGTATGCTATCTTTCAATTTATTATATTTATCTAATTCATCTAAAATCAATTTAAATTCATTTTCAGATATTTGTCCGTCTGTTAAAGCTTTTGAAGTCAAATCTTTTATACTATTTAATTTACTATCAGCAATAGTTTTAATCTCATAATGTTTTTTTGTTTTTGATTGTAATTTACGTCTAATAAGTTTAACACATACTCCTAAACTTCCGCATACAGCGGCTGCAATTCCTAAAGGTAACATAAAAGGAATAGCTAAGCTAGTACCCAGCCAACATTCTATATCGGCCCGACATCAAACCTATATGGTTTTCTATAACGGCCCGACATCGGATTAAATCTCGGCTGCAAATAGGAATGATGTCGGCCCGACATCGGTAGTACAATATCGGGCCGATGTCTTAACAATATCGGCCCGATATTTCTTGCCTACATCGGGCCAACATCAAATCAACATCGGCCCAATATTTCTTGCCTACATCGGGCCAACATCAACCTGATATTTCTTGCCTACATCGGGCCAACATCAAAACAATAGCGGTGCGATGTCAGCCAACAGAAGATATCAGCCCTACATTGACCACGTATGATCCTTAGGCTAGCCTGTTGATTCTGACAAGCAACAGGCATTTGGCATAGCCTGCAATTTAAACATTTCTTGTTGTTAACTTCCTTAAAGGAGAAACAAAATCACAACAAATGAACTAAATTCAATAATCAATTTTAATAATTCTAAACAATGACAAAATTTGATCACATTATTATCATTAAAAGCACATTGGTTGAAAGACAACTTTGATATAAGAAAAATGCATGTTTTATTGAGATATCAACAGTTTTAATTTGAAAATTAAGGGCATGGAAATGACAAAATTTGATTTTTAAGTGTTTAAAGCAATGTATTTTAAGTACTTTGAATGCAATGAATCTTTGTTTATATTCTGATTACAACAGATACAGAATACCTAAAATGAAAGAAGTTTGTATACCTATTTGTTGGCATCAATCAAAAGAAACATGCCCCAAAACAAAGGTTAAAGACACTAGAGATGCTTTAAAGATCTTATCAATTAATCTTTTTTTTTCCTTTGAAAATTGGAGAGAAATAGCAATTTATACATATATTACCTTAAGACTAGAGTAACAATATATATACATGTTTACAAATAATGAAAAGAACTGTTTATTTGAAAAATTATGAAATCATAAAATAATTAACAAGGAACACAAACAAGAGCTGTCGGTAGGACAGCAACGCTCGACTATTCTAGTGCTTGATAGTAAAAAATAATGCTTGATAGAGTTACCTACTCCTGTTTACAGGTTGGTGTCATGATGGTGAACAAGTATGCAAAGTTTCAAAGCCATATGTCAATGGACTTTGAAAATATTTGAGGTATTACAAAAAACTTTAACGTAAATTCTAAGTCGAAAAAGGGGCATAATTCTGTCAAAATGCTTGATACAGTTACCTCCTCCTGTCTACAGGTTGGTGTCATGATGGTGAACAAGTGTGCAAAGTTTCAAAGCCATATGTCAATGGACTTTGAAAATATTTGAACTATTACAAAAACTTTAACGTAAATTATAAGTCGAAAAAGGGGCATAATTCTGTCAAAATGCTTGATACAGTTACCTCCTCCTGTCTACAGGTGGGGGTCATGATGGTGAACAAGTGTGCAAAGTTTCAAAGCCATATGTCAATGGACTTTGAAAATATTAGAGGTATTACAAAAACTTTAACATAAATTCTAAGTTGAAAAAGGGGCATAATTCTGTCAAAATGCTTGACAGAGTTACCTCCTCCTGTCTACAGGTTGGGGTCATGATGGTGAACAAGTGTGCAAAGTTTCAAAGCCATATGTCAATGGACTTTGAAAATATTTGAACTATTACAAAAATTTTAACATAAGTGGCTACGCCGACGCGGACGCCGACGCTCGGGTGACGACAATAGCTCTACTTATTCTTATCGAATAGTCGAGCTAAAAAACAGTAAAATATAACTGACTTATTTAAACGAATTGGACAACAAACATGACTAAAATAAAACAAAATTGTTAATGAATATAAACAACCTCAACAAACTGCTAACATTAAAAAAAGATATGTCATGCAAATATATAATTCAATTATGCAGATTTTACAAATATTTATATCCGTAAGATAAAAATACATCAATATGAACTTGTGATTAGACTATTTATGTAAGAGTGTAATTTCCAAGCAAGATGGTAAAATACTGAATTTAAAAACTTGAAAAATAAATATCTTCAAACCTTACAATTAATTTATGGTTGGTATTTAATTTGTATCTGGAGAAACATTGAATGTAAAAATCAATGACTTTCAAATTGAATAATAATGAGTTTAATTGGCACAAAGAATAACATATAATAAATTTGGCACAAGACTGATGTAAAACATATTAAATCATCAACAAAATAAAATATATAGAGAGTGTCAAACAAGTTAATCATTGTAAAATTTAATACTGGTTGGCATTTTAAGCAATAAAAAACATGGTAATAATTATTACATTATGAAAACAAATGCATAAATATTTGACTCAAATGAAAAACAAGCTGGAACAAAAAAGCTATATAGTTACTTGCTGCAAAATAACTATTTGTGTGTGTGTCCAAGTACAAAAATAAAGTTTAAATACAGAACCTCTTGTCTCTTATTACATAAACCGCGGCACAGGAGTGTAATAAAGCCATTTAATAAAACCGATATTACACTAGTGTAATAACAATTTTATGGGACACATTTGCACTATCTATAAACATGGCGTTAAAGCAACAGTAAACTAGAGCAGTCATCGATAGAGACAATATCGATGTATCATTGATATTTTTCTGTCGAACAATAATCAATACAAAATTGAAAAAAATTGATTGTTTAAAGGTCTATAAAAAATGAAAATTCACTAAAAAGATACACAAAAGCAGATGGCCGTGTCTAACACTAAGCTGTTGCTCCATAATGGACACATTTCATAGCAGTTATGACAAAATATAATCAGAAAAAAATCATGCAAAGGTACACAACCTATCTATTTTACTAAAATCATTTAAACAGGTATGAAAAAGTATTATATACAAGAAAATAAGAGTATTTTTAGATATATTGGTGTAATGCCAATATTTAGTCAGCCGATATCAATGTATCGTCAATATGCTTTGCACTGAATCTATGACAGCACTACAATAAACTTTTCTTTTTTTGAATATGTGATAAATAGAATATTATATTTTTGTAGATTCAATACTTAATTTATTGAACTCGTTGAATAAAACAATATTATGCTCGCATAATGATTTTATTCAACTTGTTCAATAAATTTAGTATAAAACCTACTCATTCTACATCCTCTATATTTCAAGGAAACATACTTTGAAATAAAAATTTACATCTACTTCTGTCAGTGCAAGGGACCCACAATATTTCATGATACTAACATTTTTAAATCAATGATTTTTTCCACATGCTTTATCAAAGCTTTCACATTGGTGATTTACAGAAAAAAGAGAGAAAATAAATGGTGCATAACTAGTAAAACAGTATTTAAATGCTAATGAATGTTCTCATGTTTTATCAGTCCATGTAAGTATAATTATGTATCTTTTTTGGAGGACAGTTTTGAAATCTCAGTTTTCTAAATTTTCACTCGAGGTATTTGTGGCTGCCTTTCTATTTTTACGACCTCCCTCACGGTCTTTGGCTGTCCTCAACCATTCTCTAGTTATAAATTCGACCTCTGCTGTGGTTGTTCCTGGTGTGGTCTTCTGCACTGCCTCTGTAAATTACATAAAAAACGCAATGTTCATTTGACTTTTTTACAGTGATATTCTCTGTACGTCTTGTTTAAATTTTTGCAAGTTAAGGAAATTATTTGAATAAGTTCACCTGCTCTTCATTGTTATGACAACTGAAATGTACATACCTTCAAAACGTTTGAGTAACAAATAATGGGCTTTATACTTTAATAGATTTTGAATTTCTGAATAAATAACAAACATAAAAGTTTGTCTGCTTTTTTTTCATTTTAATTGATAGATTACTCAGAAAGCCAATCTAAAACAAGATTAATCAGAAAACCAATCCAAAACAGTACATTAATGCAAAAAAAATGCAAAAAAACTTTATGACTTACTACAAATCACTTCCGCTATTTTCAACGATCCAAATTTAAGCTTTCCTTTCTTTCCGTACCAGTTGTAACTCTCTGCCAAACGGCTTTTGATTACATGGCTCAGAATTCGCCTGACCATATCTGGTGTGTTTTTCCCGCCAATCAAAGACAGGTAGTTGACCTGAAATGTTAAGTGTCATTAAGGCTTAACACTAAAACAGTATTTAAACATAACAAAATTTCAATTTTTGAAAAGAACTATAATGAAAAGAACTATGAATATGAAGAAATAATTTTTTAAAAAACAAATCTCATTATCTGTTTTCATAGTACATGTATTTAATGGTTTTTACTGTATGCTTCAGCTTTTACAGCTAAAATTACATGTTTTAAAATTTACAAAAAAAGAACAAAATTCGATAAATTTATCATTGTATAATGAATTGGCCAAAAACAAGCATTTGCTTTCAGAGGCACTTATTAAAGGGCATTGAGACAGTACATGTATATATACTGATAGACAAAAAATACACTTGTAGAGACAGGTTTTCTTACCATGTTGTTGAGAACAGTCTGTTGTCTCAACTCTTTTTCTAACCCTTCAACATCCTCCAAAGATTGGAGGGGAAGGGTAATACCTTCAGGCAGACTGAAGGTACTGGAGCTGCTCACTTTTGACGCTCCTAGCTCCTGTACCATATCTAGAAGAGTTTCAAGTCATTGAGCATTTGAAAGCTACTTGATTTTTTTACATGATATAAAAAAATTATAATAATTGTGAGTGTCATCACTGATGGTGACTGAAAGATACTAGAGAATGTTTTTTAACATTTCACAATTAACTTCTAGCCAAGAAAAAACAGCTACCTGATTTTTCTCTTTGATCGGCGGTATGAATCTGCCTCATCTTCACTAGCCTCTTAGGCAGTTGCTAGGTCAGATTCATCTTCTGCTTCACGCAGCTTCTTTCGTACCTTATCATAAGGTTTTTTCCACAGCGTTTTTCCCCCGTAAATAACTGATAACTGCAAACGGCACCCTTCCCAATAGAAAATAAACAGCAAATATCCTGAATCATGACTGGTAAACTCCCTAAATAAAACTGAAATTTACCACAAAAATTGGCAAAATTTAAGGTAAAAAAAACAAACAAAAAAAAACAGTAATGGATGCCTCCATATTTATTAGTGATTTACAATAAAAACCAAGTATAACCACATGAGTAATATTCGTACCCAATTCATTTCGTACTTTCAACATCATTTATATAAAATTTTATCAATTTTTTTTTCAACCTTAAGAAATCATACATGGTTTAAGAGTGTATATTTTACTTAGATTAATGAATATTTTGCATCTTTTGTAAAATTCCAAATTTCAGTAAAACCCATGTAAAGTACTGGCACTATTCCAAATGCAGGGAAAATAAACCACTGTTCCATATAGGTTGTTTGTTATACTCCTACGGATGAGAAAGGGGCCGAATATCTCAAATAAACAAGCAATTATATTAGTATTGCAAGCAATCCATAAGTCCCCTACCGGTTAGAACCCCATCAACATTCTGAAGGGCCAATGGCCATTCACTAATGTTTCAATTTTTCTATATTTTAAGTAAATTTGTTGTCTCAACTCTTTTTCTAACCCTTCAACATCCTCCAAAGATTGGAGGGGAAGGGTAATATCTTCAGGCAGACTGAAGGTACTGGAGCTGCTCACTTTTGACGCTCCTAGCTCCTGTACCATATCTAGAAGAGTTTCAAGCATTCTGCGTTGCTGGTTTTGTTCGATTCTGATTTTTTCGATACTAGTGAACACTTCTCTTGAGAAGCGAACATGATCTCTATCTAAAATTTGGCAAGAAAAAAAATGTTATTACACAAAATCAGGAAAAAAATCACAGTAATGTCATGGTTCTCAAGGCTAAATGTTCATCCTTAAGAAAGATGACAAGTCCTAGCTTGATATAAACAACATTAAATTTTTACGCAATTAATCTTATATTAGCACCCATTGTTTTTTAAGAAATTACCCTGACCTTTTTTTTTGGAGCAAATTATGAAGAGAGTCAACCTCAATTACATAAATGCAAAGCTAATTATCAACAAAATACAAAAAAAGGTATGTATAACTAAAAAGGCCAAAACATACTTGCATCTGGAGCTGCTGTTTCTTGCGTCTTTGAGCCAACTTTCACATTTGGAGTGGTTGCCAATGGGATACGTAGAGGTGGTTTAGGAAGAGATGGCGATTTTGTTGAAGGCAGTGGTGATGAGATGGAAGACAGTGGTGATGAGATGGAAGACGGTGGTGAGATGGAAGACGGTGGTGATGATTTAGAAACTGTCAAAAGCATTGATTGAACTTCTTCCTGAGACCCTTCCTCTGTTATCTTACTGCGTGAAACAGCAGTAAAATCATGCCTGTCCTCATCTTCATCAGATGAAGAAAATACTGTTTTTCTAAAATAGTTAAAAACATAACCCCTGTATTAATTTAACATAATAATGCTCTAATCAAGGGAAAATATTCAATATTTAATTATTTACATGTTATGTGGGATAAATGACTGATTTAACAGTATCAATCACTATAATTTTACTGCGTTACTAACGCGTAGACGTTACTAATGCAGTAAGAGTAAAGACGTATTTATGTATATTTGGATCTTTTTTTTTTTAATTTACATTAACTGTAATTGCCGTTTGCAATTATTTCTTCTTTGTTCAATTCATAGTATTTACTTTAAAATACATTTTTAAAATTTTCATGAAAATAAGCATGAATCTGATGGCATGCTGCTTAAATTTAAAGACTTTAGTAGGGATGTTGTTGACAGTACCTTTAATCAATGTACTGTATTCCATATGCATTTATTTTAGTATAATTAATTCTACAAGTGGCCAGATATCAGCTACATGACCCTAGTCATTGAGCATTTGAAAGCTACTTGATTTTTTTACATGATATAAAAAAATTATAATAATTGTGAGTGTCATCACTGATGGTGACTGAAAGATACTAGAGAATGTTTTTTAACATTTCACAATTAACTTCTAGCCAAGAAAAAACAGCTACCTGATTTTTCTCTTTGATCGGCGGTATGAATCTGCCTCATCTTCACTAGCCTCTTAGGCAGTTGCTAGGTCAGATTCATCTTCTGCTTCACGCAGCTTCTTTCGTACCTTATCATATGATTCTACAACAGCAATAATTTAAATATATTAATTTTAAGTAGTTTAAGCCAATTTTGACCACAATGTGATATTAACAATGTAATTCAATCAATATTTATAAGCATGACAAAGAAAGTGTAATTTTACATTTTTTAAGACAAGCCTGATTCAATTGAAATTTTCTTTTAAAATTACATGTATTCAGTATTTGCAATAATCCTTACTTACACAAAAGGATATATTTACATATAAATACAAACATACAAATCTGGTTGAAAGTAAATCAAAATAATCAAATTAACACAATTTACCATGTTCGTACAATTCACGGATTGGGAAGGATTGCCAATCATCCTGCGGCTCCATCTTCTTCATTGCAGCTTTAGTAATTTTAGAAGATACCTTCCAGCTTGGCCATAAAGCACATTTTGTTCCATCACGCCATTTGTCCGGAATTACAGCTAAACATTTTTCATCAGTGAATTCAACTAGCACGTACATTCTAAATGTAGTAACACAAACATTCCAACAAACTTTCAAAAGAAAGTGATGAAAATGTACCAATATTTTACAATATAAGTCTTTATTGCTTAGACAAATGGATTCACATTTGCAGATTTTTTTAAACATATACAGGGCTGTGATTTTCTTAAACTATAAAATGTCAGCACATATCTACCTATTTCATGACACGGTTTTGTTTGCTAATATCTAAACTTTTACAACAATTTTTAATGATTGTACATGTACATACTTTCCCTTTCCAGAAAGAGACCTAACGAAACATAAATTAGGTCAAACATAACTACATTCTGAATTGCTAAAATTTCTCTTAAGGTTTTTTCCACAGCGTTTTTCCCCCGTAAATAACTGATAACTGCAAACGGCACCCTTCCCAATAGAAAATAAACAGCAAATATCCTGAATCATGACTGGTAAACTCCCTAAATAAAACTGAAATTTACCACAAAAATTGGCAAAATTTAAGGTAAAAAAAACAAACAAAAAAAAACAGTAATGGATGCCTCCATATTTATTAGTGATTTACAATAAAAACCAAGTATAACCACATGAGTAATATTCGTACCAAATTCATTTCGTACTTTCAACATCATTTATATAAAATTTTATCAATTTTTTTTTCAACCTTAAGAAATCATACATGGTTTAAGAGTGTATATTTTACTTAGATTAATGAATATTTTGCATCTTTTGTAAAATTCCAAATTTCAGTAAAACCCATGTAAAGTACTGGCACTATTCCAAATGCAGGGAAAATAAACCACTGTTCCATATAGGTTGTTTGTTATACTCCTACGGATGAGAAAGGGGCCGAATATCTCAAATAAACAAGCAATTATATTAGTATTGCAAGCAATCCATAAGTCCCCTACCGGTTAGAACCCCATCAACATTCTGAAGGGCCAATGGCCATTCACTAATGTTTCAATTTTTCTATATTTTAAGTAAATTTGTTGGAAAAGTTCTTTAAAAGTGATCACAGGAAACAGTTTTTATGAACAGACAGACAGACGGACTGAAGGACACTCTAAAGTTAATATTTGAAACATCCCTGTTACCAAAATATAACATTTTTAAAAGCAAAATGCTTAAAGAGGGAGATAACTCTTGAATTAAAGATGCAATTTCATAAAAAAATTTCAGCTCTTTTTGACTTATCACAAACAATGTTATATTTGCCATGTTTTTAGCCTATTTGTTGCCAAGGCAACCAATATTTTTTCAAAATAGGGAGAACAGATAAGACATGCATAATCTCAAGACTGCCATCTACCCATATATCAAGTTTCATAAAAATTTTCCAGTACTTTTTGAGTTATCACTGGATTCAGTGTAAGTGTAAAATTTGCCATATTTTCAGTCTATGTGTTGCCATAGCAACCAGAATTTTCAGCATAGGAAGAAAAGAAAAAAACGTGCATAATCTCCAGACTGCCATCTACCCATATTACAAGTTTCATAAAAATATTTCTATTACTTTTTGCGAACACAGGATCCAGTTTATGTGTAAAATTTGGCATATTTTCAGTCTATTTGTTGCCATAGCAACCAGAATTTTCAACATAGGAAGAAAAGAAAAAGACGTGCATAATCTCCAGACTGCCATCTACCCATATTTCAAGTTTCATAAAAATATTTCCAGTACTTTTTGTGTTATCACTGGATCCAGTTTATGTGTAAAATTTGCCATATTTTAAGCCTATGTGTTGCCATAGCAACCAGAATTTTCAACATAGGAAGAAAAGAAAAAGACGTGCATAATCTACATACTGCCATCTACCCATATATCAAGTTTCATAAAAATATTTTCAGTACTTTTCAAGTTATCGCGGGATCCAGTTTTGTGGACGGACGGACTGACGGACTGACAGACGGACAGACAGACAGACGGACGGACGGAGGGTAAACCTAAAGTCCCCTCCGGTAAACCGGTAGGGGACTAAAAATACTGTAAAAACCATGTTGTAAAATGCACAGGAGATTCAATAGAAATTTTTTATATCTTTTACTTTA